TTCTCATTTTACACATACACAAATTATACAATTGATCTCTTGTATACAACTGCTTTCTTTTGAACATGTATGGCGAATTACGTAACTGATTTCTTTGTATATGTATAGCGAATTATACAATTGTTCTTTTATATATGTATAGCGAAATGTACATATTTATGTTTGTTATGGAGCGCAATTATGCAAAGTATAACTATAACATGCAAATATGATTTTTATGTTTGTTATATGTGAAAGTTACTCTTAAAAGTATTAATATTAGTTAAAAGTTAAAAATTAAGTATCACTATTTCAAAAAAAAAAATTGAAACCATTTTTATACATATTTTATAAAATGCTTAAAAACCTGATATACACTTTTGAACTCTCAATATATAATATTATATACTCTCTTTCTCCAAACTCTTTCCCCCCCCTCTCTCCCGGTCTCACTCGCCTCTCTTCTCTACATAACATGTAGCTACGAATTGTAATTATCAAACTATAACTATAAAGAGTAATTAAGTTATTTTTAAGTAAATCTATGTGAAATTTTCCTTTTTTAATAATATACTTGATCATTTATACTTATTGGAACAAAGAAGACTGTGTCTCATATTCTCAAGCGGCCCATTGAAGATCCAAAACAGAAATTTCGCTTTAAAAGTTGCATCCAACTAAAATTCACAAATATGGTCCTTTTAATTTCTCCCCTTATTCGAAAAATAGCCACTATCGTGAAGTTTTAGTTTCTTCGAGTGAAACTTTAAAACATTATTATAAAATTTCAGTAAAATTAAAAAGTTATTACTCTGATAGCACGTGAAAATAGGAATAAAAAATATCTATTACTGACTTTTATTCAATTCTCTACCGAGACTATATGTTAGGATCGCAATCTTTTTCGATCATTGCTTTCATCTAAATTTTTATCTGTTTAATTAGAATTAAATTTTAAAGGAGGGTGATTTTAAATAATGTAATAATGACGTAGATCGCCAAGCATGTTGACTGGGGAGATTGGTGACATTTGATTTTCACAATAAAACTTGAGCAATAGTACAATAAAAGCATATTATGTTAAAAAAATTTAAAAAGCAAGTTAAATTCCCAACTTGATTTAGCTTGTTTATATTGTACATAGAAGTAAAAGAGTTGATAAATTTGAACGTCAAATGTTTTTTTTTCTTGATGTCAATTGGTGGAGAAAAAATAAGGTTAATTAATAATTAAGGGGTCGTTTGGTTACTGTATAAGATACATCTTATGTATGTATAAAAGTTGTATTGATTTTATTATATTTAACGAAATTTTGAATTGGTATAAAAGTCAATATAACTTGTAACATTTTTGGTTGGTAAGATTTTAAGGGGTCGATTGGTAGGAGGTATTAAGAGAAATAGTCCATGTATTATGTATGATATTATTTAATACTATGTTTAGTAGAATTTTTAGGCCTAAGTATAACTAATCCATAGATTAGTTATACTCCCTACATGGTATTATAGGAGGTATTACTAATACATTTCATGTGGTGGTATTAATAATACTATCGGATTATCTATGTAAAAACAAAAATATCCCTCAAATCATTTTATTTGTTTTTATGATTTTATATTTTATATATCAACTAGTAAATTTATTTAAATAAGTTAGCTTACAAATTTTATTGTTTAGAGAGAATTTTTTGTTAATAAATAAATGCAATACATATCAATATAATATTTAAAATGTGACTTGTTTAACATTTAATAATTGAAAAGACAAATATGTTAGCACATGACGTTTGTGATCTGAATTGAATATATTATTTGTTGGTTTATATGTGGTTTCTAACTGTTTGTATTTTGAACAATTTATGAATTGCATACATACTAAAACTATAACTTGCAAATTTATATGTAAATGTAGATGATGTATTCGATTTTACTATTTTTACAGTCTTTTCAATTTTAAAGTAGATGGTCTACCGATTCTAAATTGAAAATTAACATTTTTAAGTGATTAATTTATTAAGATAACAATTGTTTACCCTCAAATAGTTCAAGTGAGAAAATAGTAACATGACAACAAAATTATTTTTGTCCTAACTAATTAGAATACCATAAAATATAATATTATCCGGTAATTATCTACTAATTCCTACACTACTAATTCACGTATTAATAATTTCTATATTATTTATCTTTCTACCAAACGACCCTTAAAATGTTATATAAAAGTTATTCATGTATTAATTGATATGGGGTTTGATTGCTCTTTTATTAGTCCCATATAATTAATATTAACAAAAATTCCGATGAAATTTATATATAAGTTGTGCAAAAATATTAGTTATACATGTATTAAAATGATAAATTATATATTTAAATTAATAACCTTTTTCAATAGAAAACTTTATTGTTTTCCTAACTATGATTGTTCTTTTGATTTCGTTTTATATGTGGACCGTTTTTCATTTCTTTTTATATGTTCACTAATTTTTATTTATTTATGTAATTATAAATATTTTTTTAATGTTAGACATTTGATTGTATATTATTTTACGCCACATGTACTAATCAATATTAGCTTATATATTATTTTATATATTTAATTAGTATGGGTTATTATTATTTACAACAAATTCAATATTCAATAGTTGATAATTCATGTGTTTTAATCTCTATATAACTAAATAAATACCTATATTATTAATATCTGTATAACTAATATTCACATAGCCAGTACAAATATAACTCCCATGACTAAATCGTGCATAACTCTAATCAATAACCAAACTGCTCCTAATTGTATAACTCTTATTTGTTTTTTCATTGTACATCCGTAAACTTTTGTCAAGGCAGAATAATAATGTACTACATTCATCTACTTTTAATTGTCGCAATTTATTTTTTAGAGTCAAATTATCAAAACTCAAACTAATATTTTACGATATATTTTTTTATCATATTGATATGTAAAAACTTGTAATATATAGTATTTTTCACATAATTTTTAAATATTTAATATTTTATTTAAAATTAAATTAATATAATCTAATTAATTTTTTAAAAGTTAAATAAAATTAAATTTGGGAGAACGAAAAAGATAAAAAGTGGATTGACACAATTTGCTACTTCGATTACAACGACAACTAAACACGCCTAATCAATAATGACCTTTTCTTTCTTTTTCCTTCTAGAAAAATCTATTTTGTTATGCAAAGAAAAAAGATATTTTTATTTGACTATTAAGTGCTTTTGTTATTCATTTGCAAAATATTAATTAATATATGAATTTACTACACCAGTCATCTCATTATATTTAATTTTCATATTAATTTGTTTAACTTATTTTTATTAAATAAAAATAAATTAATGTTTTGAAACTTAAAATGTAATACTGGTAACTATTTATTAAACTAAAACAATAAAAATCAGACTAAGGTAGAAATGAGAGTTGCTTATTTAATAAGGAAAATTATATATAATGACAAACTAATTAATTAAATTAATTGTTATAACCATCCTTTAATTTAATTGTGTCCGCAAACTATTTGCTAGTCATCTCTTTCCCTCAAACTCTCGCTCGCCAATCTCCTCTCTCGCTCGCTTCCTCTCACTTTTATACAAACACAAGTATTGTATAAGTACATATATTTTTGTTCTCCTCTCTTCCCTCTTCCAGAGCTTGCTGGTCACCCTCGCCTCTCTCGCTTATACAAACAGAAGCGATATGCATAGATTGTTTCGGTTTATATAAAGCGAGAGAAAATTATATATACACATGCAGATACATATATTTTCATCGTATACACTTATAATTATGCAATAAAAATTTCCCTACCCAATTTCTTTTGTCTTTTTCTCTTTCTCGTTTTATACAAATTCAAATTGTATATAATTTCTCTCTTTCTAGTTTTATACAATTCGATTCAATTGTTTATTCCCCGCCTAAGTCTTTTTTGCCTTTCTCTCTTTCTCGTTTTATACAAATTCAAATTGTATGTAATTTCTCTCTTTCTAGTTTTATACAATTCGATTCAATTGTTTATTCCCTGCCCAAGTCTCTTTTGCCTTTCTCTCTTTCTCATTTTATACAAATTCAAATTGTATATAATAGTTCTATACACTTATAATTATACAACTCGTTTTATAAACTTCGTTTTTGTACAATTCTCTTTCTCGTTTTATACAATTCGCTTCAACTGTATATGTATAGTGAATTATACATTTATATGTTTGCTACGGAATGCAAATACGCAAATTTTGCTATAACATACAAATATGAATTTAATGTTTGCTATATGTGAAATTTGCCCTATTTAATACTCTCTATGTCTCTATTTACTTGTCTATATCTCCTTTTGTATATGTCCCTATTTGCTTGTCCATTTTAACAAATCAAAAAAGACAATAATTTTTTTCTTATTATGTCCTTATTTAACTCTAGAAAATTTCTAATACTACTAAGTTGTAACGCATGCTTTTTGAAATCAGAAAATACATTTATTATAATTGAAGAATTGCATAATCTTTTAAATTAAGAATAAAATTGTAACTAACTATAATAATAATTGACGCCTTAATATGTATCACTTCGAAAATGAACAACTAAATAGGAGGAAAGAAAATAATATAATAACATCTATATATATTATCTCTTCGTCAAAAATTAATGTCATTGACTCAAACTCATAATCTTAATGTTTGAAGCAAGCATGCTGCTAGACATCTTTAGAAGGTGATGCTCATACTAATTATTAAATAAATTTAAAATAAAACAGTACAATCGAAACGGTAATACATTGAGCTTTTGTTTTTCCTCTTTTCTGCTTCCTCCAGGTCCTGGCCCCACACGTCTTTCATTACAACACATTATCTACCACTCATATGAGTCCACGTGTCCTACCTCCTCGATCGGTTTCTTTCAACTCTTATCGGCTTGGCTGGCCTAATCCGCTAATTCCTCTTTTTTTTTTTTTTTAAATTTTGTTGGACTAATATACCCTTCCTCAACTCTCCCGTTTTAAACAGACCAAGCACCAACATATAGAAAAAGCCCAAGGTCATAATGGAACTTAAAACAACCAAAACCAGTTAAATAATACTCACTCCATCACAAAACAGCCATTGTTACACTTCTGAGGGGGGAGGGAAGAAAAAAATATGGGATCACGATTCGAGGTGGAGGTGAAGATCTCATCAGCTAGGGATTTGAAGAACGTTAATTGGCGTTACGGTCGTCTTAAGCCATATGCTGTTGTTTGGGTTGATCCGAAAGGGAAATGCTCCACCAAAGTAGATGATAATGGCGATACTTCACCATCTTGGAATGAGAAGCTTGTGATCCCGTTGTATGCTCCGATCGAAGAGTCTACTTTGTACATCGATGTGGTACACGCTAACGCAACTGAGGGAACAAAGCCTTTGATTGGTTCAGCTAAGCTTCCGCTCCGTGAGGTTGTTGATAGCGTCGGAATCGGTAATTTGACGGAGAGGTCGCTTGATTTGAAGCGTCCTTCTGGTCGCCCACATGGAAAGGTGAAAATTGAGGTTGCTGTTCGTGATCCGCGCTATCGTGCGCCGGATCCGTATTACGCACCTCCTTACGGTGTACCTCCACCAGCTGGATCGAGGGATTACCCTGCTCCACCGCAACCTTACGGCGGATCATACGGTGCTCCTGCCCCTGCTCCTTCCCCTTACGGTGCTCCTGCCCCTGGTGCTTCGCCTTATGCTGCTCCACCAGCGGGTTACCCGTACAACGCGGCTCCTGCACCGGGTCCAGCTTCCGGTTATGGTCAACAACCAGGTTATGGTGGAGCTCCTGCTCCGGGTTATGGTCAACAACCAGGTTACGGTGCTCCTCCTGCACCGTACGGGCAGCAGGGTAGTTACGGGCAACAGCCTGGTTACCCTCAGCAGGGAAGTTATGGATCGCAGGGTAGTTACGGGCAGCAGGGAAGCTACGGGGCGCAGCCTCAGGGTAGTTACGGGTCACAGAAAGCAGGGTATGGTTACGAGGAGAAGAAGAAGAGCAAGTTCGGTGGGATGGGCCTGGGTGCGGGACTAGCTATGGGTGCGGTTGCAGGTGCACTGGGTGGATTAGCCATATCTGAAGGTATTGATCACATAGAAGATAACATAGCCGAGAAGGCAGCGGAGAAGGTTGAAGATGATCTCGACGATGGTGGTTATGACGATGACGATTACTAGATAACTTACCTAACTTGAATTCGCATTATCGGTGTAATATGATTTCTGGCGTACTGATCAGATAACATGTAATGGATGCACGTTTTTGCTGTAATTTCAGTATCTTGTATTCAAAATTTCATGCTCGTAGTTCAACAATGTCTACTGCTTCAATAATGCTATTTGTAGTATTCAGAAATTGCACTCAATCTAGTTTTGTTTGAAATGGTTAACGAATAGGCTCCTCACTTATCTTTCTCGTTTAAAATCGTGCATGAGACTTTCATCTAAGTGATGAAAGAAAGAAGAATCCATTTTCGTTCTTTTTTTATTACCTTCCTTACATACCCTTTTCTCCCTTCCCTTTATCAAGAATAGATCAAGATTCAAGAGCACCCTTTCATCATATCTTAGGAATTCCTTGATTTGGACCTGAGTAGTAAGTGCTACAAGATCTTGTGCATTGGAACTCATGGACTTGTTAACATAACTTTAATTGTATATCACATGATAAAAAAATCTTATTTATTTTCTTAAACTTCGTGTCAAGTCAAACTAGACCATTATTTCTGAAAGTGTTTTTGTTATTTTAGTCATATACATCACATACATTGGATCAAGTAACAACTCTGGAGTTTCAACAAGCTACTATTACAACCCTTTTATTAGGCATCGATGATCTTTTAAGTTTTAACAATACCCTTCAAAGGTTGGCTACTTCAAGATTATGAACAATGAAGTTCAATTTAGGAAAAACGATGATGTCAATCCATTGAAATATTGTATGTTACAAGTGAATGTTTGGGCCAAGAAATGAATATACAAACATACGATATAACTCACTTTGAAGAGTGTACTTGATAAACTTAGGTATACTAATTTTTTTTCAACTTATTCAATGTTGAACTCGAATTGACAAAAGCATTCAAAGTTTGCCGTATGTAGTTGTCATCATCCCTTACGTGTATCAACCAATACATTATTTAAAAAATATAGATAATGCCCAAGTACCCCTTCAACCTATGCCCAGAATCCCAGAAACACATTTATACTATACTAAGGTCCTATTAACCCCCTGAACTTATTTTATAAGTAGTTTTCTACCCCTTTTCAGCATAAGTGACACTAGTTTGAAAAGAAAAGTCAACCATCATTTGACCCACAAAAATAGTGCCACTTAGACCGAAAAGGGGCAGAAAATTATCTAAAAAATAAGTTAGGGGTAATAAGACCTTAGTATAGGATAAGTCTATTTCTAAGATTTCGAGCATAGGTTGAAGAGGTACTTTTGCATTATCCCTAAAAAATATACTAATTTGTTAAGATGGCTCCAATTATATATTGGAATATCATTGTTGTCCCACTTAATAATAATCTTCAAACATGATGAGTGTGTATATATATATATATATATTACTATTATTGTGGTTGGTATTGAAGCTAATTGCCTTGTAAGATTTAATCATCAGAGTAAATGTAGGGAAGTTTGTGGGCAATGGTTAATCCCTTGCAGTGTAAGTCCCCTAATAACATCTTAGACGTACAGAAAAATATTCTCTAGTCTTCAAAGCTAAAAAAAAATTAAAATAAAAAAATTAAAAAAGCATATAGTATATGACTTAATATTTATTATAATCATTATAAGAGGTGTTTCAAACGTGTACTCTGCTCTCTCCTTCACCTTTTGGAATTATTATCTCTTTTATTTAAAGTGTTGTTTCTTCTCTCATATTTGAAAAGTTACAATTGTAAAATCTCCTCTCTTTTTTTGAGTTTTCTATTTGCAGGACTAATTAAGAAGAAGAATGAAGATAAAATTTCGTCCAGTGTTGAGAAAATATATTGCATGGAATGGTAAGCTTCATATATATATATATATATGTTTTAGTTCAATTACTTGATTTTTTTTTAATTCTTAAATACCAAAAAAGAAACATCTGAAAACGAATCTTATTAAAGAGGAGAAAAGACTCATCAATGTCATCCGTTAAAAGTTTAACTCATTTATGTCATTTTAGTTTAACAAATAATTGCATGAATGTGTCTTTTCTCAAATGAAAATTGCATAGATGAGTCAAACTTGCTAATATTGACTATAAAAGTGGATGATTATCACTAAGCAATATGAACAAAAAGAGAAGTATAATGAAAAACACGATTATTTTATGATTATAATCAGAATAGATAAATCTTTAATTTTATATGAAATATCCAATATCATATAATTTTTGGTACAATACATGTAGGACGTTATATAAGATGTGAATTATAATGTAGCATGCAAGTATCTACTTGTGCATATTTAAAAGTGAAAGGGATAAATGCATGTCATCTGAGAATAAGTTACGGAACATATATGTTTATATATTACGTGTTTATTTTTATCTTATTTAATAGCCCTAACAAAATGTTGGATAAGGGTCAGATATACCCTTATATTAATAGAAATAACTTAAATATACTCTCGTTAAAATTTTAATTCGAATATGCTTTTATAGTTATACTTTAGGTCTAAATATACCCTCCCGTTATACCCTTCCCGTCTAAGGTTGGATGATATACAGAGAATGTTGATGATAATAACAAGAAAAGCATGTTACAAGTTGGGCAAAAAGTGTGAAAATAATATAGTAGCCACCAATTCATACGATTATATTTACTTTTTGGTCCCCCTGGGACTATATAATATGTCCAGAAGCACGTGGTTTGTGTATATTGTAAAAATATACAAGCATCAATATGGATTTGGATTGGGTTGTTGGGATATTTCTATGTTCTCTAACTCATTATTACGCCCTGTATCTGATATCTGTATTCTAGTTTAACTAATTTAAATTTGCGTTAGAAACTCTCACATTAAGAGTATTGGGTAAAATGCTTCGTAATAAAGACGACTTATGTTAACTTTGCAAAAGAATATATATATAAAATCAAAATATTAGATTGTCACTCCTTCAAATCCCACCATTGTTTGTTAGATAATCTCCGTAGCACTTATATTTTGGGCTTTGTTGGGCTCAAAATCATTTATTCTTTGTATGCAGAGGCCCAAGACACTAAACCGGCCCACATGGAAATGGACCTCAGAGAGGAATATGCCCATGCTTTTCGAACCGAATCGTATACTGATTTCTGGACACGTGTTCTTGCTTTATCCGAAAAGATTTCTTCTCCGACCAAAATTGTGGGCTCCACTTCAGCTGCTCGGCTTCCTTCTTATCGCCTTTTCGTGGAGCATCTTTTGGATCCGGATCAACCCACTGTGACTCGAATTCTCAATTTAATCCGAACCCATCAAGATAACCACTCTCTACTATCCCAATACTTCACACAAACTGCTGAAGCTTCTCTACTCTGTAGCCTTTTATTAAAAGACGTGCAACGTACGCGCTCCAGATATAAATCACTTAAATCCGCCCTAGACTCCCTCCAAAAAACACCGTACTCGCCTAAAAAACACATGCCCAAAATCCTGACCCGATTAACTAAATTTTGCAACTCACTTAACCCGCTTGTTTCATCAACATCTTCTCCGCTCCGATTTAAAACCGTTCAAGCTAACTGCTCGCAATTGCTAAAACGGATCGAACTTAAGCGCGATAAGACCAAAGCAAAACTCCGAATAATAAATAAATTCAAACGCGGCTCAGCCGTATTTGTCATGGCTTTAACAGTCTCGCTTACGGTTATCGTAGCGACTCATGCACTAGCCTTGCTAGTTGCGGCTCCAACCGTAATGATGGCTTCATTTCAGCTGATGTCGACTAAGAAGCTGGCTAGCTGGTCGGCTCAGCTGGACGTAGCCGCTAAAGGTACGTACATATTGATTAGAGACTTGGACACTATAAGTCGGCTAGTGGGTCGGCTAAATGACGAGTTAGAAGACTTGCAAGCCATAGTACGGTTTTGGCTTGAGAGAGGCGGCGACCCGCTTCAGCTTGAGCTACAAGCCAGCGGAGAAGTGGCGCGCCAGCTGAAAAAGAATTATGCTAACTTTGTGGAGCAATTGGATGAATTAGAAGAACATTTGTATTTGTGTTTCATGACAATTAATAGGGCTCGAAATCTTGTTATCGCTGAAATTATGAATTCGAGTCCATATTTGTTAACCCAAATCAAAGTATAGAAATTTCTAAATTCGTATCTCGTGTATTATGCTATGTATTACAGATGTGTTTACTTGTTCAACTTTATATAAATTTAACTGTTTGATTTATTTAAACTGAATGACATAGATGATAGATAAAGTCAAGTTAAATAGGAACGTTTATATATTATGATTGTTGCTTGAATATATAAATAAATATTTATATATTTCTTTATTTAATGATGTGAGCTTTTATGGGCAAGAAAATGGTGGATGTGAAAATTTATGATCACCACCAAACGTAGCAAAAATTAACATAGTGAAAAAAAACTTTCACATAATTAGGTTTGTCAGAATTTAGTTGGGGTAGCTATGTGGTCAATGTGTTTGATTAAATTGGTGAGGTCTTCAATTTCAAATTCAATTTTATTATTATTGAAACAATTGATACATACTCCTTCGGATCCATTTTAGTTATCGAAGCTATTTTTTATTAGGTATAATATATAAAAAAAAGTACTAAACGATTAGAAAATTTAGTCAGAATTTGAGTAGAAAATTTTAAAAATTATAATATTTTTTTTATTTCTAAATAAATCGATCTTTTCTTTTTCATTTTTTAGTAAAATTAAAGATAAAAGGGTAAAATATTTTTAAAAAGTAAAATTACATTAAAAATATCTCAGTCTGGCCAAAAAGATTTTTCCATAAATGGGCGAACCGTCCATCTTGATGTTTAAGGTTCATAACGTGTCCATTTTGATGCTGCGCTGGTCATGTGTCAGTTTAAACCAAGTTAAAAATCATTTTTATATATTGTATTTTTTAATCATCATATCTATTGAAAATAGTTGATTTAAAGTAATTGTCATTTCATAAATTTGAGATATAATTAATTTTTTAATTTTATCTTTACTCTACTTATAAAATTTGGTATAGCTATTGTTCCACCTTTTATCTTTACTTAAACCAAAAAAATATGGAGAGACTACTACAATAGAAAACATAATAATAATTTTTTTTATAACATAATAATAATTTTTAAAGAAAATTAAAGAGTAAATAAAGATACTTAAATTAAGCTAATTTTTTCATTAGATTAGTAGGAGTGTAAAGAAAAAAAATTATACCAAGTAAATAAATATGACCTTTGAAAAAGTAAGATAACTTGTCTTTTGTCTTGTTGACTAATTTACATATTTAATTGTATGGTTCAAAGATAACTCAATTTTATTTGTTTTTTTACCCAATAAATTATATTTTCAGTTAAATCTAAAGTTACCGTAAAAGGCTATCTGTTTTTTATGCTAAATTGCTAATTATGTGGGAAGTAGGAAAATATTATTCTTAGAGTCAGTCCAGTGAAACCAAATCAAACTATATCAGTTTGGTTGTTTCGATTTTTCTAAAAATAAAACTAGTTATTTTTTTATGCTATAGCAATTTTATTGGTTAAAGTGATGAATAAAGTTTTAATATGTTAAATAATAACAGACAAATGTATAATTTACTGAACACATAATAATTACTATTTGATTAGTTTAACAATATTCTTTTAATGATGTTTGCATTCAGAGTTCATCAAATTTTAATGAGGTATGCATTGAGAGTTTAATTGCATGTGGCTTTGCAACTGATAATATCTTTTGTTATACTTTGGAATAAAAGATATCGTATTTGTTAGAAGTGTCTCAAGTATATTAATTGTCTAAATTAAAAATTAAATAGAGCCTTAAATTTAAATTGTTAATAACTTTTATATAATTGATTTCTTCTAATTTTCAATTGATAATATAATCATTCTTATTTTAAATTATTTTTCATGAGATATAATACTCCAAATATGTTAAATTTCTTCTAATAATTCCTTCATTTTCTTGAAAAATTTACTTTTTCTACATATGGTATTCAATATTTATTTATTTTTTAAAAAAACTTACAACCTATTATTATTATTAATAAAAATGAGGCATTTTAAATTTGAAAGCCTAAGACGCATATCTTTTTTTTAACAGTGTCGAGCCATCCCTAGTGTTTGTATTTCAAGAAATCACCAATATCTTTAAGAGTTAACAACTTAATTTTTACGTGACAAGCCACGTGAGACTAATTTCTCCATTTTAACATTGTGAATTAAGATTCATCACAAAAAAACTAAACCTTCAACGACGATTAATTTATACTAAATAATATATTTGTAAATAAAACAAAAATAAGATTGAGATGGATGGTCCAACTTGAAACTAATTAAAATCTATATATTTCTAGATTTAACTTTTCAATTTGATATGCTCACACCTACTCACCATTCATGATACATTTTTATTACACCACTTTTCTAGTTGACGAACTATTATTTTCTAATAAACGCCTCCACATGACAACAATCACCACAACCATAAACTTTATTAATTATCCAAGAAAAAAGAAGAGGTACTATTATTGTAAAGTCCGATTCAAATAACGTGTGAAAAAGGAAAAGTGATCGGAAAAAATAGGAAAAATGTATAAGTATCCCCTCAATTTATGTCTAAAATTTCAGTGATACACTTATACTATATTAAGGTCTTATCACCCCTCTAAACTTATTTTATAAGTAATTTTCTATTTCTTTTCGGTCTACGTGACACTAACTTGAAAAAAAAAGTCAACCAGTGTTGGGCCTACAAGATAGTACCACATAGGTCGAAATGATAGAAAATTATTAATAAAATAAGTTCAGGAGGCCACGTAGGCCGAAAGGGTAGAAATTTATTAATAAAATAAGTTCAGGAGAGTAATAGGACCTTAGTATAGTATGAGTATGTCTCTGAAATTTCGGGCATAGATTGAGGGAGTATTTCTGTATTATCCCACAAAAATATAAATAATAAAAGTTAGAAATATATTATTTTTTTCTATTCAATAGTAGTTGTGTAGTATAATTTGAAATAAGAATAGTTATATTATCATATGAAAACTAGAACAAAAAAAAAATATAAAAGATATCAACAATTAAATTTAAGACCCCATTAACTTTTGCTTTAGGTTACTAATATGCTTGAGCACTGATTAATTAAATCAACAGGAAAAAGCTAAAATATGCAGTAGTTTTAACAATTAATTAATTATGACTAATTAGAATGCATGATCATAGAGTAAACGATTTGTACACTTTGATTTAATGTATTCATAATTAATTTATTATATGTAAAATTGGCAGCTCAATTTAAAGTAGAAGACTTTACAATAATCACTTTTAGGCAGTATTTTATTTAATTAGTAAAAAAATTGTTTCACTTTTAATATTTATATTTCTATTTTTCAAAGTATTCATATTCTATGGTATAAGTTCATTCTATGAATAGGTTAATTTTTTATAACCTTTTAAAATGAAATAAATTGGCAGAACGCTAAGAAAATGACGTGTATCTAAAATTTTCAGAAAATAGATGTAGTTGAGTATCGTTTGGTTTGATTCCTTTATTTTTTTTGTGATAAATTAATAATAACTTAGATTGAGCAAACAACGGTTAATACTATCCACCATATATATCATTTTATTTACTATTAGTCTTAATGAGTTTTCGTACTTTAAAAACAATAACTAATAGCAACATTTTATAAGAAAATCAGCTTCACAAATTTTAAAAATAAAAAATAAAAAAATGCATGATAATGACAGAAGTATATGAGTTTACTTGAATTTATTTTCTTCAGATAATTTCATTTTGAATTATGAAATTAGTATAGTCAAGTTATTGATCAAATAATTTACGTACATGATAAAAAAACATTTCAATTTCAATTTTCAACGATGAAACTAATAATTAGGTATATATTTGGAAAACAAGGCACGTCTTTGCACTTAATTAACTACTCAAAATCTTATGCAACATAACATGAGCTTTTCCAAAGACACATAACTCAGATACATAAAATGGTTTATACTAGGGCTGTCCAAAATCGAATCGAAATCGATAAGTCAAATCGATAAAAAAGTTATTGGTTTATATTATTGGGTTATTGGTTTAGTGGTTTTGATGACAGTTTTGATTTTTTTTATCGAGTTATCGGTTCTTAACGGTTTAAAGTTTTTTCTTAACGGATTAACCGATAATCCGATATATACCATTTTGTATATAAGTTTTCGACTTAGAGTTTAATTTCTTACTTTTATTTTTGGTTGTCTCAAATACTTGATTATTCTACAATGTACAAGTGTTTGCTTTTGAGCAAGATGTAACTTGTGAACTCAAGTGCATGGTTTATTTGGTTAGTCACCTTGTTTCTAAGTGATTTTCAATGTTTTTTTCTTTTGTGTCAAATCTTAACTGCTAAAATCGATAACCGAACTGATAACGACTAAAATCCAATAAACCAATATCTTATAACGGTTTAGCATCTCTACAAACCGATAACCAATAAGCCAACCCGATAAACTTCAAATCAAACCGAACTGGCCGATACATAGCCCTAGTTTATACTACATCCTTTTATGAGAAAACCAATCCCCTACTATTATGAACGGGTCAGGACCAGTACGAGTAAAATAGCCTAACATCAAATTAAGAAATTATGTTTGGGATCCGAATTGACAAATAAGATTCGTGAATGTAAATTAGACTTATGTAAAATTTCTAATCCTCTCGTCCCTCATTTTTGAGTTTTAAGACTTATCTTTTTGAATAGAATCGATCTTTGTTTTTACTAGTCTATAATTGTTTTCTAATTTCTTTGTTAGTTTCATTTTTCCACTTGTTTTTTATAATATCATCCATATTTGACTTAAAACACTAAGAAGAAAACAAAAGTAAAGTGAAATAATTTCCTTCAACTGCCATCCAATATAGCTAAGGATAGTAGTAATAAATTGTATCCAACTACACACCATGTAATTCATAAATGCACCCTCAACCGTTCCCAATATAACACTACTAGTACTATAAGTAAATCACTATCTTGGCTCATTTTTCTATCTTGCAAAAAAAACACACACCAAAAAAAAAAAAAAACAAACTTTAGCCATGACAAAGGAGGAAATTGCCACTACAAATGTGAACATCTTGAAAAAATCAAATGTGAAGCCACAAAAACCACTAGGGAAAAAAGAATGTCAATTAGTAACATTTGATTTACCTTACTTAGCTTTTTAT